GGATCCTATTAATATCTAATAATAAAATAATAAAATTCAATAACGTTCTTCAACCACCAGGTGTCCCTTTCTATCAGCTGTGCACCGTTATGGTGTAATTACAGCCTATTTACCAATTGGATCAAATATAAAAGTCAGCCGAATTAGTGTTGATACTGCAAGGAGACGCATTGTGTGAAAAGAAATGTAAGATGTTTGTATAATTGCTTATATATTTATGATCCGCGTCACGTTTTCAGTTTTGGCGGCAGTTCTCCTGTTTGTCCAGAAGTCTTCTCAGCAGGGCTCTATATATAGAGAATTACGGCAGATATGTCATATTTAATGCAGCCGAACCGTATATTACAATGCCGTTATGTGATGACTTTCAAAGAGAAAAGCAAGCACACTCGGAATAAAGTATTATTGTATTTTTAAAAAACGTTTTCAGATTTCACATCACATAAACACCAAATCCCAGCATGCATTGCGGCTAAACCATCCAACCATCGAGCTGAGGATCTTGCCTACGTCTGTTTCCGGTTTCGTTTATCACCGATGTATTTTGTTATACACACATTCCTTCACATTTACATTTTAATTTGCATTAAAGTATTTCGTGAGGCCTTCTAACATGTTTTTAACAGCCTGTCCTCCTACAAAAAACGACCATATAGGTCGATTCTTGTTCAGCAGCTAAATACGAACCAGAGTCACGTTTTAAAGTGTAGCACCTCTAGTGGTCGTGTAAGAAACAACATGCTCCTGTCGATTGCAAACGCTCCGGAGGGTCGTTTATTCACAAATTACCCTCTGGAAAATCCTAAATTGTGGAATAGTTTGGCCATTAAAATGCTTTTTTATTAGATTTCTAGCGAGAAGTGTATATTGTACTTTTATAATCTACGTCCAGTGGATGTGTAGGATCTACAGTTTGATAGATATACGAAGATAATTTGAGGTCTCGCCAGGAGAACGTGTACTGTATATGGGGCAGCTTCCATGTAAAGTTAGCATGGGTGAAAACAGTATTTCCGGTCTCGAAGTTTTCATAATAAAACCGGAAGTATTCCCCACACTGTCAAATGATCTCCATTACTCATCCACTAAAAAACATCAGTTTATCCTTGTTAATTACACAATATTGATTGGTTTAAATTGTGTACAATGCTTTTGTGTTTTTAACCTTCGATTCGGAGAAACAAATAGTTTTTTCGGAGTTTAGACACTACAGAGTTTCCGAAGACACTACACTACCCAGAATCCCCAGCTATCGTTTGGGACTACAACATCCGCCTTGCTTTACAAACCCCGTGATTAGCCCTCAAGCTCTGTGATTGGATGTTGGAGTGGCAGTACGACTAGGGCTGCTTCTCAGGTCTATTAAATGAAATCCTTGCTTCCCTCACTTGCGTAGTTTCCCTGCGTTTAGTCCCTCCCACCAGGGAAGCATGGAGGGACGCAAGGAAACCACGAGAAGCAGGGAAATGAGTTTTAAGAGCAATGGGACGTCCTTTCCTCCGGAGCGTCACGTGAAGCGACGTCCGTTTGTGATGACGCCGCACAGCTGATCGTCTGACAGCAGCTCTGTCCCCGTTATTTCCACACCCCCCCCGCCTCTGTTAGTACACATTTACTGACACAAACATTTTTATCATTTGTATTCTCAAAAAAGATAAACGCCATTCTTAAAATTTATAAACGTACAATAGTTTGATTAATATTGATTAGAGTGCACAATAGAAATAAAATAATTGAGAGAAGAAAAAGAGATATGTTATCTATCAAAACCCAGTTAGATTAACATTCATTGGATTGCACACTTTGTGTGTTTGTGTGGATATGTAGCATATTAACATTTTAATAGCACTTAATGACTGACTGAATGGAAATGACAATAAATGAAAATGTAAAACGAAAAAAGCGATCATGAAAATGTTTCCAAAAAATGAATTAAATGATTTTTGACCACTTTGTTGTTCAGATATATCACATATTTGTAACTAAATGATACATGAATTGAAACAAAACACGGTATAAACTGAGGAGTGACTCCCGTGAGGTTCATGTATTTTCTTCACTCTGCTCTCATGTCAAGAAGCATCAGATCAGTGCATGCACTGCCTCGTCCAATCAGTGAGCGATACACAGTAAGGGGGCGGGGGGAGTATCTGAGGATTTCATCGGAGGATGGTCTGGTGGTTCCTCGGTTATCGCTCCTCCATGATCGCTCCTCGCTCCTCGATCCTCGGTCCTCCGGCAGAAATAAGAGCCATAGGACGGTACTCAAGATGGCGCAGGCAAATCAACTTCCGGTGAGACCGAGGACCGAGGAGCGAGGAAATGAAAATAGTCGACCTGAGAAGCAGCCCAGGTTACGCCGAATGTCAAACAGCTCTTTGAAATGGAATGGAACCACGCCAGACTATCCAAAACTGGACTTGGACGGGTCCAGCCCAGCCCTCCCCCCCAGAATTACACATGCTGGCTATTGTGTGTTTCGCAATATGTTCTATGGCACGTCTCTACTGGGAATTGTAGTTTTATAAGACGTTTTCGTATTTCCCACAATTAGAAGTTGCCAGTATTAAACTGTATACATCCCTGGAGGTTTAGGGGATACGAAACACATTGGTGTTATCAAATTTAAAACATATAATTAATACATGGGTGAAAATTGCTTGTGCCCATAATGGGCAGCATTAATATACCCACATGACAGCTAAGGTCAGAAGAGCTTTATTTAACAGCTGGTCTTATGTCTGTGACCCCTCCTGTTGTTAATTGATAAGCCTGAAACATGCACTTGTCAAGGTTCAAATGCACATTTAGCAAATATGGCAGTAGCCATCGATCATCTTAAGATAAGATACTTTATTGATCCCAAGTTGGGAAATGTTTTTGTTACAGCAGCATGTACTACTTTGTTCTACTCCACTACAATTCAGAGGTCAACCTGGTATTTTTACTCTATTACATTTATTTTTGTTACTTTGCAGATTCTGATTAATGATGTGAAATATAAACAACCTTTAAATCAGACTTTCGTTACACCTGAGTAAAATTCAGCCTTATCAGTTTGTCTGTTTTGCACATCCACCTGTTAATATCTTTGGACGTCCTGCACTAAACGGTTTTATTGTAGAGATCACTACAGTATCTTCTTGATATTTTCTATTCTATATTTCTATCATTGACCCCTATTTTGTATGTAGGCTACTCTTAATATTGAAATGTTTTCATAAAAATTAAACTTATTCAACAACTAAATTCAATAACGTGCTTTAACCACTAGGAGGTACGATTTAGACCAGTGGTCAAGTTAATAAAACATAATAATATCAAACATAATATGACTATTCACTTTATTGTGAAATTAAAACAGAACGGTAAAGGAAAATACAGTTTCAGTCTCTCAATGTGAAGCTTATGCATTGTACCATAAACTTTTATAGACCTGTAACAGTCAACTGCATGAGGAGTTGGAAAGGTAGTTCAGAAAATCAGTAATATCTTTAAAAACTACAACAAAATCCCTTTCTATCAGCTGTGCACCGTTATGGTGTAAATACAGACTATCTACTAATTGGATCAAATATAAAAGTCAGCCGAATTAGTGTTGATACTGCAAGGAGACGTATTGTGTGAAAAGAAATGGAAGATGTTGTTTAATTGGTGATATTTTATGGTCCACGTCACGTATTCAGTTTTGGCGGAATCTCTTCCAGTTTGTCAAAAGGTCTTCTGATCAGGGCTCTATAAATACATATCTACGGCAGATATGTAATATTTAATGCAGCCGAACCGTGTATTACAATGCCGTTATGTGATGACTTTCAAAGAGAAAAGCAAGAACACTCGGAATAAAGTATTATTATTATTTTTAAAAATGTTTTCCGATTTCATATCACATAAACACCATATCCCGACGTGCATTGCGGCGTGATTTTAGCCTATCAAAACCTCTGAAAAAATAAATGTGTCTCTCAGAATCGAAAGAGAAAACCCTATGGGAAAAACACAAAAGCATTGTACACAATTTAAACCAATTAATGTCGTATAATTAACTAGGATAAACTGATGTTTTTTAGTGGATGAGTACTGCAGATATCACTGTTAAATCATTTGATCATTGGTTTTATTATGAAAACGTCGAGACCGGAAATACTGTTTTCAACCCGTAACTTTACATGGAAGCTTGCCGCATATACACGTTCTCCTGACGAAACCTCAAATCATCTTCGTAATATCTATCAAACTATAGATCCTACATAACGACTGGACGTGGATTCTAAAAGTACAATATATACTTCTCGCTAGAAATATAATCATAAAGCGTTTTAATGGCCAAACTATCCTACAATTTAGGATTTTACAGAGAGGGTTATTTGTGAATAAACGACCATCTGTAACGTTTGCATTCAACGGGAGCACTAGAGGCCGACAACTTTAAAACGTTGTAAATTAAGTTTGTAAATTAACATGAACCGAAGCTGTTGCCTGGCAACGCAATCGCACAACGTCACGTCCGTTAATTCCACATCTACACGCATAGATTAACATCGATTTAATACATTAATGTAGCCTTTGTTTATGCTAAAAGAGGTGTCGACCAGCTGGGGCAACAATAATATCGCTGTAATCGAGTGTGACTATTAAAAAATAAATCATTACGTCGGGGTAGCATTTGCTTGGCATTTCCGGTTATTTCTCCACTGGTTAACATGGGTTAACAATACCGTGTAACTGTCACGTTTGAAGGGACGAAATCGTGACATGTTCACGTCTCCCAGGCAGCATGGTAAATCGTCACATGTTCACGTCTTGCCGTGATACCGGGTTGCATATGACACACAGTGACATCTGACATGAAGACATTAAATGGTTGTTGATATAAATAGCAAGATACCACAGTAACATTTTGTGAGAAATCAAAGATGGCAGAGAAGGCCAACCAGATATTTGGTTCAATGAGGCTGAGGACAAGCAGATAACATTTCATATATTAAAAGTAACCTTACCAATGGGAGCAACTGCAGTTGAGCTTCAAAATAAAACTAAAACAATCCAGTTGAGAAATTAAGTGTGTTTCTGTAGATTACAGAAGGAAACGGCTGCCCTCAAAGGGGAAACAAGAAAAGTGCAGCAACTATAGAACTTCCTTTAAGCTTAGAAGAAAGAAAAAAAAGAAAAACATGTCATCGCCTGTCGCCTCATATGAATAACCGAAGAGCGCATGTAAAGAAGAGAATGACTTCGACTTCTTGGGGAAACAGATAAGAAAACTAAAAGTGGAACGAGATTAAGGAAGTTTCCTTAGGATTTGGTAGATTTCAACATAATAACAGATTCAGGCAACAATAGTGGAGTTTTAAACCAATAGTAGCGCTATGGAGCATCTTTTTAAGGTTGGGAACAATTTTTACCAATTAGTATACAGGTGGATGTAAATCATTAAAAATTGCAGCAATGCTCACAGTGAAGAAGAAGAACTGTAGCTATAGTTGTCAACAATACAATATTTTAGGCTATTTAATATTAATATATTCTATCTTTCTTACGGGAGTTTTATTTACGTTATGGTTATCAGTTTGAATTGGAAATATTTCGTGTGCTTATCTGATAAAACCGCTGCACGACATTTTTTGAATTTCTTTTGAATTTATTACATTACATTACATTACATTGCATTTAGCTGACGCTTTTATCCAAAGCGACTTACAATAAGTACATTCGACCAGGAAGACACAACCTTGAAGAAAACAGAATCATATAAGTACATCAGGTTTCATAGAGCCAAACATTTCAAGTGCTACTCAGCTGGCTTTAGGTAAGCCAGTCCTTTATTAGTATAAAAGTGCTTCGTTAATAGTTCTAACGCTCGAAGTGGAGTCGAAAGAGATGAGTTTTCAGTTTGCGCCGGAAGATGTGCAAGCTATCTGCCGTCCTGATGTCAATGGGGAGCTCATTCCACCATCTTGGAGCCAGGACAGCAAACCCACGTGTTTTCGCCGATGGGAACTTGGGTCCCCCTCGCAGCGAGGGCGCAACGAGTCGTTTGGCTGATGCAGAGCGTAGTGCACGCGCTGGGGTGTACGGTTTAACCATGTCCTGGATGTAGGAAGGGCCAGATCCATTCGCAGCATGGTAAGCAAGTACCAGTGTCTTGAAGTGGATTCTAGCAGTTACCGGAAGCCAGTGAAGGGAGCGGAGGAGCGGAGTGGTGTGGGAGAATTTAGGAAGGTTGAAGACCAGACAAGCCGCTGCATTCTGGATGAGCTGCAGAGGACGGATGGCACATGCAGGTAGACCAGCCAGGAGGGAGTTGCAGTAGTCTAGGCGTGAGATGACGAGAGCCTGGACCAGAACCTGAGTCGCTTTCTGAGTCAGCTGGGGACGTATCTTCCTGATGTTGTAAAGCGTGTATCTGCAGCAACGGGTTGTAGCAGCGATGTTTGCAGTGAAGGACAGGTTGTTATCTAGGGTCACACCCAGATTCCTTGCAGTCTGAGTCGGGGAAACAACTGAGGTGCCGATGTTGATTGTTAGGTCAAGAGTGGGAAGAGCAGCTCAGTCTTGTCAAGGTTGAGCTTGAGGTGGTGAGCAGACATCCACTGAGAGATGTCAGCTAGACAAGCAGAGATGCGTGCAACGACCTGGGTCTCTGAGCGGGGAAAGGACAGAATTATTTGGGTGTCATCAGCATAGCAGTGGTAAGAAAAACCATGCGGGCTAATGACTGATCCGAGCGAGTTTGTGTACAGGGAGAAGAGGAGGGGACCAAGAACAGAGCCCTTATATTTGTATTCTACTAATTCATCCAAAAAAGAAAAAAGTATAATTCATACACACAAAGATAAACAAAATGAGTAGAAGCGGGAGGGCTGAAGCATAGCTTATGGGAAGTAGCCCTCCCGTGAATCATCCTAATACAACATTGGCATTATTGCGTCAAAAACAAATAGAAATTAAGGAGCACAAAGAAATAAAGAAAACTGGAGAAAAAACAAATAAAAGGCCAAGAAAATAATAAATGCATATATATATATGTATATATATCAGGGCTGTCAAGTTAACGCGTTAATAACACCAATAGCTTCCGTTATTTATTTTGGTCTCTCGGCTTTCATGTCTATTGGCTTCTTAAAAACAGTAGTTTAGCTAGTGGAAACCGTGCCGCGCCACACTAATTGCGCCGCATAAGCGCATTGTCGGCTCAGTTGAGGCACCCTCCTCAAGATGAGGCCCCCTCCGCAAGGTGAGGCACCACGCAGTCTGCATGATCGGCCTGTAGTGGAGGGACGGCCCTGCCTACGACACAGCAGCAGCAGCCTCTATCTTTGTAGCGCTGGCAAAAGGAAATTACCTGGGCTAAATGAAGACCTCCTTTTCAGAACCATTTTAACTTTTTCAAACTGGTATCACATTTTGCCCTGAGCTGCTCAGAGCTTTGGCTAACACGTTTTACTCTTTTGGTCTCAGCACCAAATGTTGTTGATTTGCAGAAGATATTATGGCTTCTTTGTTAGAACTGCCCTCTTTTGTAGTGTAGGCCTTGACTACAATAAAAGCAGTTAAATGTTGTTTGAGCACCACATCACAAAATGAATGCTTATTGGTTGAGTGATAGAGACTAAGAAGCATAAACCATAATCTAACTGATGCTCTCTGTTTCTATTTCCCATAATGTGGCTATTTTATAGATACAGTGAATCAGTGTTTTCCAACATGCAAGTCAGGACCCCTGAAGAGGCTCACAGGATAATTATGAGGGTGCTGGTAATGGAAAGAAAAAAAACATGATAGCTGAAACCGTTTGGTCTTACTTTTTTTACCATTTTAGTCCACTGAAAACTACTTACAGAGAAGGGAACAACTATCTACTTCCTAAGTCATTTTCTGAGAAAAAAAACAACAACAATAAACTTGTAAATCACAAATACTTCCCCTTTGTATTATTTTTACTAGCACCTACAGTACATGAACTGACCAACACGTTGATAGCTAAATATGCATTTGTATTATAGTATTTTATCCATTGTGCATTGTCCCTTTTAGATAAAGTGTTAAAGTGGGGGACTCTTTTCGCACACTGTCAGTCAAAATAATTTCAGCACTCTACTTTATATCTATTTTTGTCAGGCAACATCACCATTATCAGAGTGGAAAGCTAAAATGTGTTGATGGTTGAGGAGTCAAGCATGATAAAGAGGATACTTGATTGAGTTTCTATGGTTGTAGGCCACCAGTGATAACCGACAAACTATGTCTCCCTTAAATTATAATATTAATTTCCTCTTCTTTCTTGAGATTTTATTCTAGTGCCCAAGGACGGAAAATGCATCTGCTACCCTGTTTACAACACCTCTCTTTTTATAGATAACAGCCCCTGTTTAATTTAAGAAAAACACAAATGTTTACTATCTGCCAACAAAAGTGTTAGATATTTTTACCGATGTTTAACAAATCTCATCTGTTGAATCAGACTTAGAAAATGTATCTCCTACCTGCAGGTGTTAAACTGGTATCACAGCGATGAGGTCAGCTGCTTCAGTGTCTGTGGTCAGAAGCAGAAGTGAGGATGCGTCTTCATGAGCTGTGTGTGTGTGTGTGTGTGTGTGTGTGTGTGTGTGTGTGTGTGTGTGTGTGTGTGTGTGTGTGTGTGTGTGTGTGTGTGTGTGCACTGTTCCACTGTTACTTTAAGGGGTTTTATTGCCTAAATGTGGACATGTGTTTATTTGTGTGTGTGTGTGTCTCTCTCTCTCTCTATTATTACTACTACCACTACTACTACCACTACCACTACCACACACACACACACACACACACACACACACACACACACACACACACACACACACACACACACACACACACACACACACACACACACACACACACACACACACACACACACACACCTTCCTCTTTTTCTCTCATTGCCGTGTATGTCTGGTGGTGTGACTTCTTCTCTGCCACAGTCACTTTGCTATATTTAACACACACACACACACACACACTCACACACACACACACACACACACACACACACACACACACACACACACACACACACACACACACACACACACACACACACACACACACACACACACACACACACAATACACATGTATCAATCACTTCCTCCTTTCCTTGAGGGCAGGGCTCATGATCTCCTGATGTTGCACAGAGGCCACAACAAAAGTATCTTCATCAGTCAGTGGGAAAGAAATTCAAGAACAAGTGGGATTTTATGTTTCCTTTAAACACATCTTTAAAAGAAAGACTGCAGTCATTTGTGTGGAGACAGGTTTAGGGTACATTAAACATGTGTCACAACTTTTAAATGTAAGATATGCGATTGTTTAGGTAGTACATTAAGGAGTTTATATACTGCATGGCATGTGCATATGTTTTCGTTCATATATGTTTGTATGTGGTATGTCTGAGTGCTTGTTGGCTCTTGTACCTCTATCTTTGTAAGGACCAATGAGTTTTAGACTATCAGCCTGAGGGCATGTTGTCACTTCTTCATTGGGCTGTTTGAGGGGTCAACTTGTCTTTAGGATTTGGATTAAATTAAAATCATATTAAGGGTGAGTGTAAGCTTTAGTGTTTGGGACAATTCATATAATGTAAGTGCAGAGATTAGTAAGGGTTGCATAGTGTATAAAACAAAAATGCTGCACTCTGGCGTCTGTCATTTGAAGCATCTGGTTTCCATGCTTATGCTGCCTTCTAGTGGCACAAAGGGAAGTTGTTTCATTGTTACATTCCAGTTTCGGAGCCTTGCTAAAACCTTTCTAGTGTGCACAAAAAGGGAAAATACATACTGCTCAGGTCAGGTCTAATCAAGTTTGATTGCATTTAAGTCTATCTTTCTCTACTTTGTACCCATCTTAACAGCTTTTGGTCCAGACCCAAATATATCATCTATTGCATTTAATGGCATGAAGTTTGGTATACACCATGGCTAGAGGAGGAACTTTAATGGCTATGAGGATCTCCTGACTTTTTCTCTAGTGCCCTTGAAATGTTTCACTTACCTTAGCATCTGCTGAATGAATTAGCACAACATGTGTAGGCCAACAGACATTCAAGATTCGCATTGGACTTACTTTGGTGACTTTTTACAGAAATGCCACCATGAGTGAATATATATTTTCAAATATCTCCAAAACCATTCACATTATCCTCAGTTGTACTTTGTGTTTGTTGAGCACATGTTAGCATACTAACCTGCTAACACAGTGAATATGGTAGACTTTATATTGGCTAAAAATGGACCCGCTCTATCGAAATCAGTCGGAAGTCGCAACGGCTCATTTAAAAATAAAC